TATTTGAACCCATATGGACATTTTAGGTTCAGTAGAGATCCTAAAAAAATAGGGGAAATTAGTATATTAGTAAAGTTGATCTTAAAATACCAATTTTGAGTAAAATCATGAAGCCATCGGACACCGTCGCCACGCCACTGGAGTTCTAACCGCATTTTTTTTATTTTACCCCTACTTAGTTTTTTAGTAGATACTACTAAATGTAAGTTAAAAAATCGCCTTATTAACCACAATCCTTATACATTGAAAAACATTTATATTTAGGCCCGTATCGTCAGTCGTCCCTACAATTGTAGGGCGCGTTTATGGCCTCCTTAATTGTCATACTCCTTTCTCTACTTCAAAAATTTCTAGACTACACTTGTCCCGTGTCAGCGTCAGCGCTCTCCTATTGTGAAGATATGTTTTCTTTTTAAATTGTAGGAAATTTCAGGCTGATAAAACATGATATAACTCAAAAGCAAGCACAATTTGATGCAAATAGATGTTTGTGACATAACCTCAAAATAGAGTTCTGACACGGAGAAGTAGAAAACTATGACAATCAAGGAGGCCATAAACGCGCCCAACAATTGTAGGGACGACTGACGATACGGGCCTTAAAGACAGAGGTATTTAAATTTTATTTCTAGAAAATCCGTCCAAAGTAACTGGTAAAACATTTTAAATAAAAACTCAATGGTATACAACCCACGAACATATTTAACCCAAAATTATGCATTGCTGCAAGTCCGTCTGCACGAAACCACTAACGTACCAAAATAAAACAAGAGACGTTCAACGAACAACGACCAATGTGCTCGCTTCCTGCTGAGTCATTAATCAAGCAGAGAAAATCCCCAAAATTCCTCTAAGTACCGAAAACAGTAACTCTGGAATGTCGAGCCGCTAAATAAACTCAGCTGACGTCTGCAAAAGCGTTCCGCGTGAGAAGTTTTTGCATATGGTTTTGTCGCTGGTGGTGTACTAATACCTAGTTAATGAAACACCTGAAACTTATATTGCAGTGTATTCTGATAGAACTCTGATGATTTTCTGGTCAAATGAAATGATTAAATTTCTTTTTTCTGACGGCTACCACTATGGACTTTCTCTAAGTACAGATCTATGACAATAACAATATATTATATATATATGAGCAGTAGTCATTGCCAAAGCCAACGACTAGTTGGTTACAAAATACAATTACGTGTTAATTGGGAAATTATCAAAACTTTTAGGCTTAAGTTGACTCTTTTGACGATAAAATATATGTGTATATATATATATATATAATATATATATATACATATATAATATATATATATACATATATAATATATATATATATATATATATATATATATAATCAAAAATAGGAAAATAACGGGCAAAATCCGCAAAAAGTGGATTCGAGCAGAAAATAGGATAGGTAACCCGAGCGATACGTATTTCTGCGGGTTGGCTTCATCAGGCCCGAAATGAATGCATATATACAACTACAAAAGTAGAGACACATGCCAATACATCCGGATACGGGTGTAACCTGAAGAAACAAAGATGGAGAGGGGCCTGACAGAGATAACTTTGCGATTCAACGTTTATGTTGAACCCAGGTTGTTTTGCCGAATAAGGATGCATTCATAACCTTGTTTGACAAATGTCAACAGCTGTCAGGATTTGATCATTTCCAAGGAAGAGCCACAGGACTTTTTCTCAGTGATTCTACTCCCTCGTTTTCGAGAATACGGTCTTACTCGGATAAATATATCCATCCTAAAAAATATTTTTCTTTTAAGTGGGTCTCTAACAGAGACTCGAACCATTATTTTTGTAGCTGAGATAGTGGAATAAGATATTAGAATGTATCAGAAACGAGAAACTCATTCTACCCCTATTTCTCCTATGAGTTCGATAAATATACCTAACTATACTTGGGAACCGAAAAAAGAAGAGGGCAGCGAAAAGCGAAACACAACGCACGTCCCTACTAACGCGGCATCTTCAATAAAAATAAAGTGGGCGCGCAGGTATCCCACCATATTCAAGGATACCACGTTATGATGCGATGTGTTTTGCTGCTCTCTTTCTATTCGGTTCCTGCTGGAATGACGAAAATTCTGTCGTCCCAAAATACATCAATAGAATATTAATTGTGCTATCTAAAATCCAAAGCCTCAAGTCGATAGTTACTTTTACCGCTAATTCGCTAATAACGATGTTTTCTTCTGCTTGATTACACCGAAAAATTACCTCTGTTGTTCATTTATTGTCAATCCGCGCCCTCTCTTGGGAATCTTCTATAACCTTAACAACCCTTAACATTACGCCTTCCAAACCGTGCAGGAAACTTCCCCAAAGCGTCACATATTTAAGCCGGCCACTGACCTTTTTCATTCTTTCTCAACCGTCTTTTCTTCTGACTCCAAAGGTCGGCGGCAGGGGTATCACTTTTCTTGAGAAGTGACATTATATAATTCCATTGGTTTCTGGTCTCAAATACCCTTACTTCAGATGTATGCAAAGCTAAAAGTTAGTTGCGCATCCGCCTTTTCTTATTCAACCTGGAAATTACATATGCAAATTTGCTGAATTTCAAAAAAGAGAGCGATAAGAAAAGAGAATCCCTGATTAGTGAAGTATATTAAGACTAACAGGTGAGAAAATATGGTACATACAGGAATATTTATGCAATGTAAACAAGTTATTACTTTTCACATTAATTTTTATGTCCAGTCATTTAAATTTTATAGAAATTGATTTTACGATGTTAAGCAGAGAAAATAAATCAGCGCCTAGATGTGAGGCAGTGCGAAAATATTTTTTATGTGATGCGGCATTCCTAATTTTTCTGTGATGTGGCTTAATTACATACAACGTGGGTATGGTGATGATTTCTTGTATTTTGATACACATGCAGACCAATACACACAACCATCCAGATGTGATTTGATAATCTGCTACTCAACCGCACACATCTCCTCAAAGTATACTCTGCAGACTATCTCAGCCAACAAACCATGATGGGGAACTGACTAGCAGCTTTCAGCATGGTCATTGAGCGTATCGTATCGTTAAGTGATTCCTCCATAGATGGACGCTTTTGATAACGCTCACAGCGCGCATAGCGAGCAATAGCGGAATGTACTATTTGCACACTGGGAACTATCTGGGCAGCACATTGACATTTTGTCATTTTTTTTACGTTTAATAGGTTTTTACATAATAGCAGACAGAAACTCTCCCCTCGCTCTCTCAACTTTCAAACTTCACCCTGTGTACGTACATTATGCTTCGGGCCCCACAGATCCTAAGCCCGCCACCGATAGAAAGTACAGAGTAAACCTACTTAACAAGATTAAGTATTTCTGTCAAAAAGTCAGAACACACACACACCTACACACCTACACATACACACATATTTATATATATATAAAGAGAAAATGATCATCAGGAGAAAGTATTATAACAAATAGCAAAATAGTGGATAATAATGCACGTAAATGCAACTACAAAAGTAGATACACATGCCCATACATCCGGATACGAACTTTGTGCTTCGGATCCCAAATAGCCTATATCCGACACTGTTAGAAGTCTCCATTTTTACTCAGATATGTACAAGCCAAGGGTTAGCTGATCATGTGATGCTTGTTATATAAATGTAACTGAAACACTCAGTACATTACGCACAGATCTAGGAAAGACAGCAGACGTAATGTGGTGGTTAGATACTTCTGAACTATTTCTGAATTCAAACATTGTATTAATACCAATCAATCATGTACAAGCGCCTCGAACAATTATTTGAAGATATAAATAACAATGCTCTGAAGATTTGGAATCACAGACTTGCTGCGAGCGACAGGCAAGGCTGTCAGCACACAGTCAGAAAGCAACAACGTCTGTGGCTGGCTTTTGCTTGTTATGATTTTTCAGCGTTAGATGGCAGCACGGTACCATTCCAGTCAGCGTTGCACTTGATTACGTTTAAAATTCATTCAATAAGGAACTATGAATTTTGAATTCCTTCAAAATGTAATATACGCGTTGACCCGAGGAACGTTAATGTCTCTAAACACTTTTATAAATGCCTAGTTCCATAGGATAAAATACTTTTTGATTGCAGGATTTCTTCCAACAATTGAAAAAACCATGTTTTAAAATATAAATATATTTATTAACTATTTGGTCTAAAATTACATGATCATTAATAGAAGTACGATTTTCATTTTCTCTACTATTTATTGGGGGAATATGGTTTTTAGTGACTGCATTTGCACTTGGGTGATGAAAACCTCAACCGTCTCTGCTAAGATTAATTGTATCAGGTGAAGAAAAATCACGTCATTCCACAATTCTGGTTTCATTTGTACAATCGAAAATCGCCAGCGTGCCACAGTTACTGTTGACATCCTATGTTTTTTTTAAATAAATTTCGCACATTGCATACACTGAGAGATTAGTCATATACTGAGGTAAGTATATGGCAAAATCTAAAATTTGGCCAAATCGTTTTTATTTTTGTCTGACTTTAAGAAACGTCAAAAAACTAATGACACTACATGATGGTGTTGTTGAAAAAATACTACCCTGTATCTAAATAGCATCTTTTTCTACGAACTTCAACGATGTATCACGTTACAGTTGTTTTTTTTTAGTTATAAACAAATGTGTTTTTTCATACTTTTTATTTTACTTAAGTAGGCGTTGCAAACAAATAATGCTTGATATAAGATTGTGTGATTACTGAATTTAACCTAGTCTGATCCTTATCTTGGACACCCTAATACATTATTATAAAAAGAAATTTACAGAAACGTGCACTAATCTAACGTTCTTGTAAGTATTCTTATGTACTTCATTCATTTCTGAAAAATCTCAAAACTACGCAAGGCCTCGAACAAAAAACTAGTTTTAGTCCAAGGAATTGGTGATAGCAGAGGTAGCAAAATCGTCCGATGAGCTGGTAGCGCCGCAATCCAGGTGACAAGAATGACAAGGTCAACTATCAAAACGTATGTCTAGTCTATCCCGGGGTAACAACGAGGCCCTTTAGAACGTCAATGCAGCAGTTTTCCGATCTTCATTTGGGTATTTTTAAGTGTTGTGCTACGATTTCGAGAAAAATTAAGCTACGGATAGTGTTCTAGAATCTAGAGTCTAATAACTCCTAGTGAATACGCTGTCTTGAACGTTAAACGACATTTTTGATAATTGTCACTGTCAGTACGTGTTGTTGACAGACAGACATTTTTGAATAATGGAATAAAATTAACGTTTTTTTTTTGGGTCGGTTAATACAAGACTGTTTTTTTTTTGTTTTTAGTGGAATTGGGCATTCACAGGTCTCGGTGTTGACTTCTTTTGAATGAGGCCCTATCCTAGATCGTTAGAGGAGCACCAGTTTTACAAGTCTGGGATAAAATCCATAATTCATTTTTAGTTATCACCACACAAGAGGGACAGCTTTTGGACACTTTGTGAATCAAAATGAGGTCTCCTGCAGCAAAACAGTCTAATAGTGTGTCTTCTGTACCATCGACACCTAAAGCACATGTGGAATTCAGTGTGGAGCTCAAGAAAATCATCCATGAGAGGAACATTCTAACCACCAAAACCAGAAACCGGGTATTTGAAGCGCTTGATAACATCAAAACTAGAAGTGATGAAGAAAGCAGACAATTTAAGCGAGAGAAAGCTGTACAGGAAATCATCAGCAGTGAGAAAACCTATGTTCGTCAACTGGAGATAATCATTAAGTTTTTCATGAAACCTGTGCAGAGGGAAAAGCTTTTGAAAGTGGAAGATTTTGAAACTTTATTTGGAAATATTACGACGATCTATAATGTAAATAAGCAGCTGCTAGAGGAACTGGAGAAGGGTGCTCAGAATGTTGTGGCTGCTTTTACAAAAATTGCACCATTTTTGAAAATGTACTCAGTATATGCATCTGAGTTTAAGAATGTTCTGCAGCTACTACAGGTATTTGTCACAGATTATATTGTAGCTTGAATTGCTGCCATATCACTGGTGAACGTTAATTTTGAGTAAAGACTTTTGAATGTAGAAAAAACTTGGGCAAATCCACATACCAAATTTTAGTTCATTCCAGTTGACGGTTTTGGAGATATTTAAAAAAATTATTTATTTTTAAACTTGAACACCCCATTTCGTAGATCACGACTTGTGAATCACCCTGTATACATAAATATAAAAAATAAAAAAGTTGTGTCAATACCAAGACACAACTCAAACTTCTTTAAAAACTGCCTCATGTACTTATCAGGCAACATATGTATACAATTATTTGTGTTCAGAATCTGTAGCAAGTTTTAAGAAGAGTGTAAACTTCTTTATTATGGTGGATTTATAGTCATCCCAATAACTGTGATACTAGTTTAAGTATGGATGAAAACAAATTTTATATATTTTGTACCTTATTATTATTTTTGCTGCAAGATATACTATCATTTTGTTCTTTCTATCAGAACACTTTTGTAAATTACAGAAAAGTACTTTTTCACTCAGCAGAATAATCATATTACTATTTTTATAAAGAGAAACAAATCATATTCTATTTTGTATATTGTTTTCTGAGCAATTCTTTATTCTAGAACAGCAGAGCTTTGTATCCCCACTTCGCCAAATTTGTTGAAAATCAAGAAACCAGGCCTGAGGTACAAAGTAAATTATCAGCATTACTTATAACACCAATACAGAGGGTTCCTAGGTATAAACTCCTTTTAAATCAACTGGTTGAGTTGACAAAACCACTTGAGGAGTCATATGACAAATTATCAGGTGAGTTATTATAATGTTCATCCCAAATCAGGCCAGGAAACATGAAAATGGTTTTGGGGAATTTTAGTTTTTGCTGCTGCATATCTTCAGTTGTATTTATCTGTAAGCATGGATTAACATATTCTACCAGAAGATACACAATCCTGCTGAAAGCCATGCATTCACAGAAATAATAATAAACAGCAGAGCATGTTGACAGGTGCCAGAGGTACTTATCCAACTCTTGCCAGCGTGTAAAGTATACACTGGCACCACTAATGACTGGTGGCACACTGCAGCTTTATTTTTTTTTTATATCGAAGTAGCCGCGCAGGCAGGAGCCTAACTGCCGGAACACCGCGGCTGCTCGCTGCTATGATGATCCCAAAGAAATTTTATTAATATTAATTTTGAACTGCCTAAGGTTAATAGAACTGGGAAAAGCTTCCTCTTGTAGATTGTTCCACAATCTCGACACTCTCGGGACAAAGTAGCGGTCGTATCGGCCGGTTCTGGATGTACGAACTTCGACACGGTTAGAATGGGACGCCAAAGTCAGGCGGGTCTGTCTGGCAGGCACATCGCGAGACGGCATCATGAAAGAGAGCTCTGAGCAGCAAAGCCCGTTAGTGTAACGGTAGAAAAGAGCCAGATAGCCGACAGCCCGCCGGTTCGAAAGAGTCTGTCTGTTAAAGAAGAGTCATCGATCAGTCAGACCGCCCTCCTCTGGACAGCATCGAGCATGGATAATGTAGTCGGGGCGGCAGCACCCCAAATGTGTGAGCAATACTCGAGGCTTGGCCTTATCTGGGCCTTGTATAGAGTGAGGTCATGCGGAGAAAAGTACTTCTTAGCCCTAAACAAATAGCCTAGCTCTGTCTAACATATCTGAAACTTCATTAAAAATATTCACAAATCGCTGTCGTTAGTATTTACTACAGACTGAAGTGATGACGTAAGCGTCATCTTTCGTGATTTCGACTATAACTTAAAAATGTTCATTTCTAGTCACATACACAAGTGCGTCACCAGCCAATGGCCTAGTGGCGAGCAAGTTGTTACGATGATTGAGAAATGTATAAATTGTAGGTAAAGTCAATGGCACATCAAATTTTTCACGTGTAGTATGGTGACTGTGATCAGAACAGTATAAAGTCCAATGTATGAATCTCCACGAGCTCTTGGCTGTATGGTAAATGAAACTTGAATTAAATTATGTTATTATATTTATTATCACTTAGAGTTTGAATACTAGGAATGAAAATGGTGAATTCGTTCGAGTTTCAACGTGCGCGAATGATCGATCAAGCACGTTAACTGAGTCTACTTATGAATTTTATTGACTATCATTTCACTACATTTTTCAGGGTCTCTAGTGGGGGAAACTGCCCCCTGCCCCCCTCTAGTGACGCACTTGCACATACATACTAAACTTCGCTCTGGAATAAACGTATTTTTTAGAGTGAATTTGAATCACCCTTTATAGAACTATACTTCCAAAAATTGTTTTGTTTCAGATTGCTTATCAAAAATTGATGAGGCGGCTGAACATATCAATAAAGTAGTTGAAGATCATGAGAATACCCAGCGACTCCTAGAATTACAAAGATATTTCAGAAAGGGTGTACCAAATGTCATCAAACCTGGGAGAAAACTCATAAAAGAAGGTTCGCTCATGAAAATGTCATCTAATAGAGGACCTAAGGAAAAAATTTATGTTGTTCTGATGAACGACATAATAATGTTCAACAAGAAAAAAGATGAACCAGTTAACTCACTTAAATGCATCAGCATTTTTCCATTATCAAAATGCAGGATTGTAGAAGTTCTGGACAAAGGATGTATGAAAATAGTGTGCCAAGATGAAGAAGTGATTTTATACCACAATGAGTTGAGTGAAACTAAAGATTGGATCGAAACTATCAGAGATGCGATTGAAAGTCATTTGAATGATAGAAAAACATTGAGGAAGGATAGTTCATCAAGAAGGCCTGTTAAAAGGAAAGATATTCTAGAGTATCATGAGGTTGGGCTGAGTCCTGGAAGGCCAATGAAGAAAAGAAGGGTGGTGAGCATTAGTTTTACGTTTTTTGTTTTTTTTTTTTGTGTCAGTGCGATCATATTTGAGTGATGGGGATGTTATGTAGCTCTGTAGCCATAACTATCAGATATCTGAAATAAAATTCTATCTGGAGCTGAATCCGATATAAAAGTTTCGATAATGGTCGCGTCTGAACGAGCGAACAAAGAATTTCTGATTTTCAGGAACTGTCAAATACAGTTATATAAAACAAATATACTCATTTGACCTGATCCACTATGTATGACTGTCCCCATACTAGGATAAACTGATGGTTTATGGTATTATCTGTTATATGTGTATGTGCTTTTATTTTTTTCGGACCGGGCAGACGCACTAACAGCGCGCAAACATAGCTAAACTTCCTTATGTTTGTTCTTATTTCTATTGCTCAGTAAACTGGTAATATAGTCTAATCATGTTAGCAAATTTCCCCGAAATAATTGTAAAATCTGGTTTTATTGGTGCAAGGTGGGTATTTAAAACATGGACGCATAAAATGGGTACACCAATTTTTGTGGGAAAACTTTTTATTTGACAACAAAGAATGACGAAACGTGTTTTTGGGGATTCAATCGTAAGTGTTTTCGCACTTGTTGGTAATGCGACGATGGTTTCACGCAACTACTTGAAATTCCTCAAATCCGTAGGATTCATACCTCTAAATAACAATAACAAAATTGGAGTATATTGGTCAAGTAGTTTTTTGAGAATCTCTAATTGTTTACCCCAAAACACCTGTGTTCATGCAAGTTCAAAAACATACTTCATTATTTGAACTCAAAAATTCAAATTCTTTGGCACGTGCGCATATAAGTGAAACATGCCCACAAGAGGAAGAGGATTTCATGAAGTCAGTCTCGTAAAGATCGAAAAAGGCAACTGTCGTCTTCAATACCCCGACAAAGAATCCTAGTTAAACCTTGTAACATATATTCGCTAGAGCAAGTGTGGTGAACCTAAGAAGAAGCTGTGAAGAGAGAGAGGAGCTCCTCCAGACCAGGCGACAGGAACACCCAGGTACGTGCCAATCCTACATTGTCTTTATATGGCTCGGATGTCGATTACCTTATTACCTTAATTATATCTGAACGCGCTTACAGTCCCGCGTCTCTCCACAATTTAGAATCATCTTTGCAATAACAACCTGTTTTCCGACCATCACCACTAATTTATTGAGCAATATACAGGGTTAGTTCAGAGGGCATTTTATAGCAAAATACACGTGTTTACCTTGCTGTTATGAATCGCAAACCATTCCGAAAGATAAATGTTATTTTTATGCGAAAAACAAAGGTTGCATTTCTTTCTACTAAGCAAATTCAAACATTTCGTATTTGTGAGTAATTGAACAAATGCGCTACGATATTCGAAAAACACGTTACTATACACATTTCAAAACAAAGCGGTTGTGCCCAACATGTTTTGTAACGAATTACTCACAAATACGAAATGTTTGAATTTATTTAGAAGAAAAAACGTAACCCATCCTTTTTTGCATAAAAATAACATTTATCTTCCGGAATGGAGTGCGATTCATATCGGCAAGGTAAACTGGTGTATGTTGCTATAAAATGCCCTTTGAACTAACCCTGTATATTGCTTAACACACTAGTAGTGATGACCGGAAAACAGGTGTTTTGGGATAAACAATCAGAAATTCTCAAAAACTACTTGATCAATCTACTCCAATTTTGTAGTGGTTACTCAGAATTTTTTTTTTTATACTCCAACTACCACGAAGGCCTAAGGCCTAAGCACCCATTGGGTACCGTGGGGCTATAGGGGGATACATGGGAAAAGGGGGGACGCCACACGGACTCTGGCGAGGGAACACGTGTGCATGCAACATGCACACATTCTGGCTCCGCCTACGAGAACCGCCGGGTGGTACCTCCGCGTTCGACAATCGGAGACCATCTACCACCTACGGACAATCACAACATCCATAGCCAAGAGAAAAATTTCTCCTGGGACGGGACTCGAACCCGCACAGCGCACGGCGACTGATCAGGAGACCAAAGAGTCTACTACTGCGGCCACCGCTGCTGCCTAAAACAAACACACAACATCCATGGCGAAGGCGAGATTCGAACTCGCGGCCCGGCCGGCCGGCTGATCAGTAGCACGACACTCTGACCCACGCGGCCAACCGAGGTCCCAAATACTGCGTTTGCCACGGTTTTCGGCCATAACTTTTTTGCTATTAGTCGGATGTTTTTACTTGTGGTCTCATTTTGTAGGTCTGATAAGTACCTAAAAACCTTATATGAAAAGTTTTTTCGTACCTGCCAACACTTTGGATTGAATCCCCCAAAAAACACGTTTTCTCATTCTTTGTTTTCGAATAAAAAGTTTTTCCACATAAATTGGTGTACCCATTTTATGCGTCCATGTTTTGAATACCTCCTTGAACTACTTGCAGCAATAAAACCAGACTTTACAATTATTTCGCAAACTAGGAGTATTTTGGTCTAATATGGTTAGACTAATAGGCAGTCACTCAATTACTCCTGTGGGTTTACATTTCCAATTTTTATATTTATTTTTATAAAACAACAAATACTGTGTGCATTGTTTGAGTGTTTCAATTGTATCAAGGGGATAGAGATTTTGGAAAATGTGTACAGTGGAAACTCTGATGTAACAACAAGCCGAACAATTGATCCCCACCGCATGTGATAGTGGAAAAAGTTGAGTAACTATTTCAGACCACCTGTCATATTATGGCAGGATATAAGGTTGTATTTCTCACTAGTTTACAAAACAAACACTAGCTTTTGTCTGACAGTACTTCAAAGTTTACAAACCCCAATTATTCCGTTTGGAGCAGAGGAAACCTTATTGAATGATACTAATATAAAGAAGTGAAGCTGAAAATAGTATTCCATTCAATTAATAGTGCACATGGAAACACCAATACTGACAGATCTCTGTTACATCAAATGAATGTTTGTACTCCCTTTATTATGATCCATATTCAGATGCTCAAATATTTCAACACATAATACAATGGATGGTACAGAAGCTCTCCAATGTTGCCCTTAAAAAGTAATGTCGAATTAAACATCACAAACTTCAAGTTCTATACCGTGCCGTAGTAAAGGTAGTTTGAGCAAAGCTCTGATTCCAGAGCCAAGATATTGTTTAAGGTATTAACTTTAAGATGGATATTAATTTATATTCATTTTCGATACTTACATAAATAGACCACTTTGCGATGCCACGTATGTTGATTTTCGCGCAATCGATGATTATACTTCTGTACCACAATTTGTTCTAGGACGAAAAGGACGAAGATAATGGTGGTTTTGAACGAAAACATCAGAAGTTGTTAACTAAGAGAAGACCAATACACCAGCCACTGTTTGATTCAACATTAACCAATCGCACAGATATTGAAAAATCAGCTACTACTGAATTTCAAAATGGCAATCGTCATGTGACAGCCACTCCAGCAAACGGAGAAGTCGCGTCTAAAGATTTGTTTGTTTTTGGTAAGCCACATCCAAGCTCATCTTTTACTTTCAGTAAGCTGCTGGGCGGGGTCAGTGGTTCCATCAAAAGGATTTTTGGCTTCAAAACATAGCGTTTATGTTTTGTGTTGATTTTATTTAATAGTGATTGATTTTTGTGATTGAAGTATTGCATGAAGTATTTTATTTGCTTAACAGTTTTTATACAATTTTTTACATTCACCGATTAAGTAATTACTCTTAGGTATTATAGTTGTGATTTTACATATTTCTTTATACTTATAATATGATTAATTATTTTCTCTAGTGATGTGGTATAAAAATAGATTCCTAATTATTGTATATAGGACGAAACACAAAATTTGGAAAGTAAGTTTATTTCTTCCAATGAAAAAGGTTTACCTATCTGAAAAAATGACACACAAAAACCCCAAATTTAAAACTGAAAATTATTTCAGTTGCAAAAGGTGTAAGTAGGTGAAGAAAATAAACTTCAATAATCATAAACTATTCTTTTTATTCATGAACTTCCTGACTCTCTCCTCATCAATTTCATTGAACCATTTTCCATCTTTTTTGAAATACGAACCCACTACGAGGGCATCTGCCGACAAGTATTTTTCGAGATTATCACCAGTAATTCCAGATCCTACCAATATAGGTATTGTTACATTCTCTTTAAGTTGATGTAGATCGTTTTCTTCAGCTGGTATGCCTGTTGCAGATCCTGTTAGTATGACACCATCTGACAAAAAGTATTCGGCAGCCTTAGCGGTCTCTATGAGAGAAATATCCATGGTTATATAGTGTGAGCTGAAAGATTTGGACAGTGAAATACTTTGATAAGCCCTAGAAAAGTTTGAGGGTTATAAAAAATGGATTTGGAGTCCAAAAAGAAAATTTTGAGTTCAAAGCTGCTTTTTAGAAATCGGTCTATTGGATTATATACCTAAAGAACATCGCTCAACAAATCGTATAGCGATAAATTGGCATTTATCGCTATACGATAGGTATGGCTACCTGCGTTGTGACGGGTTCATAGTAACCGTTTTTTAATTCGGGTTTATTTATCTTGTGATGCATAATTTCTTTAACGTTTAATTCAAAGCAAGTCAACTCTCTTAACAATCGGGCCAAACAGAGGATTCAAAGACTTCTATTTAAGTTACTCTTAGAAATTGTGCGATAAAAAATCCCTTTACATAATTATTATGTGAAATAATAAAACAAACAGTATCTTACGCTAAACTAGACTGAGCTGGCGGCTCCGCTCACATGGAAATAGTATAGGTCATTCGTTTTGCATTAGTGTGAAGGAGATTGGTTTAGGGGAAAGAAATGCAATGTTCACAGAAGTGCAATCGTTACTTTGTCAAAGAACATTTTTTACCCAACATTTTGCACGCAACAATAAATTGATTTCAATCTTCCGCTTTTTATATTCTCGACAAAAAGTATTGAGTTTACTTAAAAATTCACCTGATCTTAAAATTATCTTGAAGGTTAGGGTCAAGTTAATTGGCAAGAATATACTTGAACTTAAAATTGTCCACAATTTGCATTTCAGGATTTAAAAAAAAACTTTCCATTAAAAGTTAATTTGATATTTGATCTTCGCATAGTCAAAGTCATGGACAGTTTCTTTCTCTTTTTATTTCCGGTGTCAAAAATGGAAATTTCATTTAAGACTTTGACGATCTAGTCAAGGTCACGTTCCTTTAGTTGAATTGTTTCAAACCTTACAACTTTGTTCTACAACATTTTTTTTAGGAAATGTATTTGGCAGGACATTCTGATCTATTCATTTCTTTAACACTTTGCATATTTACGCGGATAAAATCATGACTAAATCTTAGCGGTGGTACAAATTTTTACGTCTCCGTGTTGTGGTTCGGACGTGATGCTGACAGAGTGGACAGGCACTCTTTTATACAATCCGATGTTGGCAGTATCAAGTCTCAATTAAGTAGCTCATTTAATGATGTGTGGACTTTATTTTCTAAGACATGTAACGCTGAGTCAGTTATGAATAGAACGTCCTTTTTTGGTACCAATTTCCAGAAAATCAGCAGCATCTGATGAATTTCGTGGTTTCGAAGACACTTTTGCAGCCAAAAGATTTTCCGCGTATAATAAGCAAGATCCAACTGAATATTGGCATGTAATTCTAGACTCGAACTTAGAAAAATTGACAGTATCAATATTGGGCTTCTCTTTCAAACAATTTGGTTTGGGAAAGTCGTCAGTATTTTCAGTGGCTGAGTTGAGATTAAACAGAGATTTAGTTTTGATATGAATTGAACATCGCAGGTGAACAATGTTTGTCTTGTAAGGGAAATCGACGGCGCGCAAGGTGCGCGGAAAGTGAGACTTTTTCCACTTGGCGAGAATTGTATAACTTCTTTGCGTGGCCCATTTAAAACTCATCAGCGGCCTCAGTTTGGCCCACGGAAGTGGAGCAACCTTGGTTTGATTTATAGTACAGTTTTCGGGCCATATTATTGACCTTTACACTCAAAACCTCAAAATATTGTTCATGTACATAATACCTGTGCTTTTTCTTGATATCCGTGAATACTAAAACGTCTTCAGCTTGGATATGTTTTCGATATCTGAGTACATGTCCAGCGTTTGCATCAGTGAAGCCTTCATCAGCAATATGGCTAAATACGAAGCCTTCTACTCTTACGAAATTCATGGCGCACGCTTTTGCTACGGCTAATGCTTCTTTATTGCCACAAGCCAGTATCTAAAAGGGTAGTCAATCAAAAAACAGTTGAATTTTCGGAATCAAAAATGACCAAATAGCTTCAATGTTTTATTATCTCAGGATTTTCTATTTTTTAGCATGCTTTCTAAAGACGTTGCAATCCGCCACACTTAAAAATTCATTTTTTATTTATCTAATTGTATCGGTTTTTATATTTGAAAATAATACCTGAACTCCAAACGGTGTAGAATCAGGAATAATCTTCCTCATCTCGCTGCAAACTCTGCTCATTGCAGCTGGAATTTCGGGGCCGAAATGTTTTGATTGAACATACGGAACGTCATGCATGTTTTCAATCATAATTGCATCCTAAAATATTCCTTTATCAAACCCCAGATCAACATTTTCTGGTACTACAAGTGTTTTTTATCAGTTGGTTGAGTCATACTTACGACATTGTGCTTCAAATAGACCTCCGTTTCTTTACAAGCTTTGGTTACTGACTTCTCAACAGAACCAGAAAATAAGGGTGTTCCTACAAGTATATTCCATCTGTATCATTATTGAGCACAATAAGTCGTCAGAAAGTGGTTTTGCTGTTATTCTATCCAACTGTCTATGCCACAATTTTAGTCTAATCATATTATCAAATTTCCCCGAAATAATTGCAAAGTCTGGTTTTATTAGTGCAAGTTGTTTTAAAACATGGACGCATACAATGGGTACACCAATTTTTGTGAGAAAACTTTTTATTTGATAACAAATATGTAATGTGAAAACGTGTTTTTTCGGATTCAATCGAAAGTGTTGACAGGAACGAAAAAACTTTTCATATATGATTTTTAGGTATTTACGAGACCTACAAAATGAGACCACACGTAAAAAGATTCGACTAATAGCAAAAATGGTATGGCCGAAAAACGAGGCAAAATGCTGGTAATGCGACGATAATTTCACGCAACTACTTGAAATTATTCAACTCCGTAGGATTCATAATTCTAAATAACAACAAAATTGGAGTATATTGGTCAAGTAGTATTTTCAGAATTTCTAATTGTTTATCCCAAAACACCTGTTTTCCGGCCATCACTACTATACTAAGTGACATATAAATCCGAACACCCAGTTTAAATGGTTTTATTTTAATAAAATTTTGTATAAGTACTTAATGAGGCATAATAAGTAAATGATAAAAATTTCAAAATGATTGCACTGCTTTAAAGCCCTTTGACCTTTAATAATGTGTGGATGCACCCTGATGTGCTACGCATTCTCCAACGCGTCCAGGCATGCTTCTGATCAGGTGGTCAATGTCCTCCTGTGGTATCTCATTCCAGGCAACCACCAACTCCTCTCGATGTGCTTCTAGAGTCTGAGCAGGACGTTGCAAATTGAGCAATCTCCTACCCATCATATCCCACACGTGCTCAATTGGGGATAAGTCGGGAGATCTTGGTGGCCATGGTAACAGTGTGACATCATTATGTTGAAAGAAGTCTATTGTGACTGTTGCAACATGTGGCCGGGCATTATCTTGTTGGAAAGTTGGATCTGCCAGGGTGTCAAGATAGGGTAAAAGATGGGGTTCTAGAACTTCGTGGATATAACGCTGCGCGGTCATGTTACCTCTGATGAAGATTAAAGGTGACCTGGAACCATAAGCTATAGCACCCCAAACCATAACTCCAACAGTGTGATGAACATGTCTTTCAACAAAAAACTGTGGATTCCTCCTTTCACCACGTCGCCTTCTAACCCTGGCACGACCATCGTGCATGCCTAAACAAAATCGAGACTCGTCACTAAAGACAATATGTTACTGTTCCATTCCTGATCCCAGAGTGACCGTTGTCTGCACCACTCAAGGCGATGAAAACAAGCCAAAACTTCTCATTCGTCGGTAAACACTTCGCATGCCAATAGGTCTTCCGTATTCTGCAAACCATTCATTTGCACTGGACCTGGTAGTGGAGAAACGGTCCCTTAAGGCCAATAATCTTAGGCGGCGATCTTCACGGTCTGTTGTTCTACGGCGGCGTCCAGTGCCCCTTGCTCTTTGCGTACGGCCTTCTCGAAGCCATGCCTGACAACACCTAACCACAGTGTCTACACTTCTTTGCACTCTAACTGCAATTGCCCGAAAAGAAAGTCCAGCTTCCCGAAGTCCCACTATACGGCCCCTATCAAACTCACTAAGTTGACGAAATCGTACAGGTCTCCGTACTCTAGGCATCGTAACCGATCGTAAAGGATGTCAAGAATCAAAATCCGCCAACGTTGATTCTTTACTGCGGCTGAAATATTCATTTCTAGAGCGTTAGTGAATTAAATAAAAGCAGTATAAAAACCGGAATGTCCAACTGATAAGGCTGAAAATTTTTTCACTTGTTATTTACAGTAAGATAAATACATTCACCAACTTTTATTAAAATAAAACCATTTAAACTGGGTGTTCGGATTTATATGTCACTTAGTATAGTTTATTGAGCAATATACAGGGTAGAAATTCTCAAAAACTACTTGACCAATCTACTCCAATTTTGTTGTGGTTATTTAGAAGTACGAATCCTACGAATTTGAAGAATTTCAAATAACTGCGAGAAAGCGTCGCATTACCAACAAGTGCAAAAACCTGCAGTTTGCCTCGGTTTTCGGCCATAACTTTTTTGCTATTAGTCGGATCTTTTTACGTGTGGTCGCAGTTTGTAGGTCTCATAAATACCTAAAAATCTTATATGAAGAGTTTTTTCGTTCCTGTCAACATTGTCGATTGAATCCCAAAAACACGTTTTCTCATTCTTTGAATAAAAGGTTTTCTCACAAAAATTGGTGTACCCATTTTATGCGTCCATGTTTTGAATACCCCCTTGATCAACTTGCAGCAACAAAACCAGACTTTATAATTATTTCGCAAACCAGTGGTATTTTCGTCTAAGACTATTAATGAAAAAATAACTTATTGTCGTCTCCAGCCGCCATAGCCTTTTCAAAATGGGATAAAAAATAATTTCAGTGTGAGCCTACTTTTTTAATATTCGTATTGTACTTGAAAAGGGTTAATGGCTGCCGAAACATCAGTAAAACCATTTCATTATTTTTGTTTGTTATTTTTGGCCAGAGCGAGAAAGATCGGCAGTTCCGCCTCTGTGACTTGCATAGGTATAAAATATTTTCATTTCAAATGTTATCTTTGCTAGTTATATGATACCACAGAGCATGCTCAATTGAAAATTTTCCTTGATTATTCACCGGGCGCGGGACTTGCATGTATTTTGAGGTTAAGTGATGTTCAGTTGTTTTTACCTGGAAGTGCCTCTACGTGAACCATTCCGATCACAGAACACTTGTTTTTGAAAAGGTTGCCGAACTTCAACATACTGGTAAGACACGGATTATCAAAATATTATATCTGTTATATAATTATTAGACTCCTAAGTACAAGCTTGTTTGGGAAGAAGTATACCTGCTATTTCTATAGCTACCTGAGAGAGATAATAAAGATAACATCATGAATTTTAATTATGAAGATGTTCAAAAGTCAATGACTTTCGAAAACGCTTCACAGGTAGGCTGAGTAGGGGCCAGTGGCGCGGCACGCTTAAAGTAGAAGCAGAAGGTACTTGCCTGTGTTGCTGTTCTCTTTCTTCTAAACGCAAAGCGTTGTTAAGTCGCTTAGCGAATATGTCGTCATCTGCACTTACTTTCGATGTGTTTATAAAAATACCGTATTCCTGTTGATATCTCGCTTAGTGTTTTGAAAATCACTTGTCGACTTCAAAACGACCACTTGTTGTGCTTACCGCTGCCTGGGTGTTTATTTATATCTAGGACACAGGGTGTTGTTGACACGATATTGTGTGTGTTTTTGAATAGGTAAGTTCCCATACCCAAATCACCCACCAGTTTATTGCCATCAATTTAATCAGAAATATTGGAAACCTGGAGATGCAGGAACTTGCCTATGATGATCCCTTTGAATTTTAAGTCTAATTCTGTAGTACGCTATACCGCCTAAGAAACAGGATGTGCAAATTTTGGAGGAAATTCTGCAACCATTTTTTACCAATGACTTATAAATCCCACGCGATAAGTAATCGGACGAAACTAAGTAACTACAATGAATTGCATACTTGTATTTACAAGGCTAACAAAAATCAAACCATATTTTTCTTGAAAACGAATCGGCCGATTTTAAAAAATCAAACGCCAAAATAGAGGAATTCGAAAAACATTTCAAACAAGCTTTACTCGATACCCCTTGTCATTTAAAATTTTCAAGAGGATGACCCTGGCGGGGGGGCAGAGGGTGAAAGGGGGTGAAGTAGTTTTTGGTTAAAAAGTTGTCCCCCTTGACAAATCTGTTTACATGTTTCGGCTTTTTTTCTTTTAATCAGTGGTTTTCGATAAATCCGTAGTGGGAAATTTTCAAATGAACACCCTGTATGTATAAACTTTGAAAGATTCCGTGTGCCTTGCGTACATTGGTAAAAGCACCGTTGCCAAGACGTGTCAGGCGCATTCGCACAACATGAGTACTCAAACGGTTTTTCGTTTTTGAAAACGTATTGCTGTGAAGCTTCGTCCGAGATGTTTGCCTTATAAACTTGCGAAGTTGTAATTTCATTAGTTATATTCTTCAATTTATCAACAACACCCATCCAATATGCTTGGATAATAACCTCGCAAGGTTAATTTTACCAGACTATATCCAGTGTAAACTCAACGTTAAAGGATTTTCTGGCGTAATCTCGCAGCGCGCTTGGTTTTTTAACAGGAACAAGGAGAAAATGTAAATTGCAAATTTCAACATTATTAATTTATTACCATCTTTTTTTATAACGGTCCGTACTTGAAATCAGTTCATAACACATTTTTCTTGCACATTTTCAAACTTAGATACACATAATACACTCAGATTATAAACGCTCTAAATACATTCTTATTAAAATACAACTTACATCTATCCGTGCATCTTACACATACAGCAGAATCTATCAAGCATATTATTTTACACGCCATACACAGGTCAATGGATACATGCATTCCCTACACTTCTCTCAAAAATTGACTGCGGATTGTGACAATTTACATATATTCTTTCTTGTTTGTTCCTTACATCAAAAGCAAAAACGGAAAACGACCTATTGTTATTGAATAAAATATTATTTCGGTAATTGATGCCAATGCCGAGATTTTACGTACTGCCCTTACAATTACTTACTTGGTAGTTACATGGAATTGAGTGTGCAAAATGTGATCAACTGAGAGGAGGTCAAAGAATAATAATCCAGATCTTGTCGGGCCACACTTTGGTCGATATTTGTAATCCCCTCCCTACTTAAACGTTATAAAAAGTTTTTTTGCTCCGTCCATTTTTTTCTGATTTGTCGGACTATTCTAATCAATAAAGTTCTCAGCGGATTTTCTCTAAAATTGTTTGTTTCCGAGCTATTTAATGTCTGCAAAACCCTAAAAATACTCATCTTCAATGATTAAAAGCTAAGATTATTTTCGAAAATAGGCTACCTTTTGATTTTCACAGACTGTTCATATTGAGCAGGTGCTGGATGGAATTCAGTGTGCAAAATGTGAGGACCGCAGTTTATGAACAGATATCAAATGTGAAAAGGTCAAGGAACAATAATCCAGATCCTGCTGGCCCACTTTTTGAAGTTCTTAATAATGCTCGTAAAGTGGGGTCCTCACATTTTGCACACTCAATTCCAACCAGCGCCTCGCCTCGACTATGACTTGATATTAAAATATCCTAACAAACCTTCTCAATTCAAACTTCATTCATTAAAAGACAAATTATATGCGTAAGTAATATGTTAAGCCTTAAAAGTATTTCATTTATGGTTCTTTGAAGTGTATTATATTTACTAAAACAGTAAAGCATTTTTATTTTTGCTTTTCATGTAATCAAACCTTTTCAAAACACACATAAATAAATAAATAAGTTAAACGAGTGCCCAGATATGACAAACAGTGGCGAAATACAATATCTCACATATAGATTTATAGATTTTATAAAAAATAACGCTGATGTTCTGCTTGATTTTCAGTTAACATTATATTAGATACACTAATACTCCTATATATTATAGCGTGATGTCTACAACATACATAATTTTATTACTAATACTCTTACGCATCCTAAAAGTAGGGAAACACTTTAGAACACATTTTAGATTTTTATCATAATATATAAAGCTTAGATTAGCAAATCTGACAAGCACAGTGAACAATGACTCTTGTAGCATTTAGAATAAAAGACTATAATACAAAAATTCGCTGGTGTATCACATGACTGTCTAAATTATTTTGCTACTACTTCAACTATAACCGGTAAAATTTGTGTTCAGAATAATAGCAGCAAAGGTCCCACATGCCTGCAAACAACAATTTAAAGAAGAAATCTAGTGGTTTTTAGTGAAAATCTGATCGCATGGTTAATATTGGGAGCTACGAAACTGAGGAGAGACTTGTCAGACACATACTTTTCGAGAATTTGGTTATGTTCTGCGAATTATGTGTTTGTAACAAATATTCTTACTTTTATACGATTTTCTCAAGTTCTTGTTTACTAAATATTCCTACTGCTATCATTCTAAACATCCAACGCATGCGCAATATTGTTATCTGCTATATACTTTCTCGTTTTTTTTTATAGTCAAAAAAGCTATGAATCCTATAGAACCATTTCTTACCTCTATAAAAGGGAAATGCAATGTGTCTCCCTAGTATGGTATTGCTATTAAAGATAGTTATATACAAGATGTTAAAGGGCCTCTTAAAATTAATCTTCCTAACGAAAATGAGATAATGGCTTGTGTAATTTGTACTGTTTTCAGACAGTTTTGGATGGTATCTCCCATTTAGAATTATCAAACAAAAAACATCAAACTATGAACCTGCAACAGAGACCTGCTCAACCCCAGAAAAATTTTGGCGGAATCACAGGCTATCTGGTCAGATCACGCAACTATTGAGAAAATGATTCTTTTCACCTAACCTATATTGTCATTGGGTACAGCATGGCCCAAGTATTCAGGTACCTTCCATTAAAGAGAACATTTTTCATATAATGTTGGCAATGATGAAAACCAAAGGTGAAATATAGTTGTGCGTATTGTTTTACCCAGGTACAGATAAAATAAACAATATCTGAGTATTTTTTTAATTTATTACGTTTGATTACTCGCACGACAAGATAGCAAAATCATAAGAAAATGTAAGCAATGTTTTTGTAATGTCAATATGCGAACTGATGAACTGAGTCCTGTGAATTGGAAAAATCGTGTCAGGAGATTAAATTATGTCAATTGTTGCTTTAGAATGGAACTAGAAATAGTCAGGTATCATATTGTATACGATTTTAATACAAACATGTTCATCTTCATTAGGCGACTGTATATTTAGGCCAAGGTTGTAATTTTGTATGTTTATTTCATGTTCATGACTCAGAAAATAGTCTAACATTCAGAAAAGTCCTCAAAGTTTAAAATAACAATCATGAGCATGAAATCTTTCAAACAAGAATGCACAGAAAAGCATTCAACAAAAAATAATTTATAACTTAAAACACAATTTCTTCAGTTGACTAAGATAATAAAATATATTTTTTCTCTGTATATACAAGTATTTAATCACATTACTTTTCAACAAAACTGACGTGGACAACTGGCCAAATAGGTGCATTGTTGCCCTAATGCCCGGTATTTATCTGAGAAAACGGTATCGGTATATACAACTAACAGTAATGTGATTTAATAGACTTAAAAATGAAAAATAACTTGTGAAAGACTATTAAAAGAAATTTCGCAATATTCCGGATTTAGGACGAATGTCTTTTTATTTTTAGACCAGGATATCTATAATTTCTGGGGAAAAAATGTATAAACAGAATTTACAATAAGGGTAAATGATAATTCAAGTCCACACATCTAGAGATGATATGAAATATTTTGCTGAGTAATTTATTTATTAAATGTAGAACTTGATAAAGGTTTTTCCTGTATATCGAGGAGTTCATATATTCAAAATGAGACTTTCTATGTTCAATATAACATCTGAATTAATACCTGAATGGTAAAACCTTTGTACATATCAGCATTAAAACTCATTCGAAAATAGAAATGAATTACTTTTTTTGATGGAAATCGTCTTGTCATTGAACATATAACCTCATGGTGAAGGTAATATCTCTAAAAGAGAAGCCTTTGCTTTTTTAACAATTCCGTTGTAAGATTCGCTTATACAATTTTTACAACAGGGTTCATTTTTGGTTAGCTAACCTGATCTAATTTTTATTTTTTTTCGTATGCAATTTCTCAAATCTGAACACAACACGGTGCATCGATTAAAAATCTATTTTATTTCAGACGTGCCTGTTTGAGAAAGGTATCCACTCGAGACTTCTCAGAAAAAACAATATATACATATAAAAGGGTTGTTTAATTAATATACCCTTCTTCACGAACAAACTTCATAAAAATATAACTATTTTTATATTTGAGGTGGAAGCCTCGAATGGCTGCTAGTCTTTTCACTTTTATTTTTCACATGCAGAGCGATCATGACTTTGACAGTTCCACTACGTACGTCTTTTCAAGGATTTCAACAAAATATTTGACAATCTGAGAGATCATTTACTTTTATGTGTTAATAAACAGTATATTTCATCTGAAGCTTTTTCTTGAATTGACAAAAAGAATCATACGCAAGCTGTGTTTCCATAAGCTGAAACCACCACGTTTATTTTTCCGTTATTTGTTAATACATTGGTAATATCGCTATTGTGAAAATTCGTTATGATAAAAAAGCGGCACAAAAAATGTACGAATGATTGAGATCCCAGCAACTTTTTGGTGACGTTATTTTAAATTTAAACGGCAATGTCTCCCCATTTAGGTCTCCCGAAACGACAAAATTTTAGGATATGTTTACTTAGGTGGGAGAAGTTGAGATTTTGGACGATTTTAACACTCGGGAGAAACAAAAATAAAACAAAGAAGAAAATTTTTAATTTGCTGCGTTTTCATAGGGAATTTCAGTTAATGAAAAAAATCCTGTAAGGTGCACCATTTTCCTCTGTCAATTTAGACGCATTCGCAAATGTTTTCTACAACGATGCAGGTATTGTATTTTATCAAAGAAAATACGATAATGTTAAATTTAAGTACAATAATAATAAGGATAATACATTACAGAGAGAAGTTATTCACCAAATTTCTCTGTATTTTCCAGAATTTCGGTTCTTATTCGATATTAGCATTATGGTACATGGTGGAACCAGTCAGTTTATCATGGCAAAACAAAAATGAAAGATAGCTGTTTGTGTTGCATTCGTCCTGTTGAATATTGCGAGTTATTGAGATCACTTTTTCGTGCTTTAGCAGCACTTGCGGTTGTTATTGGCAAATGAGCGGGTGGCGCCCTGGGATCGCTCCCCTCTCCTCTGCCGACGGTTTCTACCATTTACCTCACGAGCCTTATCGTTTCTGTCTAGAGCGTTCCTTCGTACGTTCTGGTACTGCTTCTGTCGTTGCACCTGTAAAAACGAAAGACATATCAACGCTGATTAATCCAATAACCTAGCAATGTTAACAAACAAAAAAGAAGACCTACAACATAACCTTGAGGTATGGAATGAGAAACTCAGAAAATATAAACTGAAAATGAATGTGAACAACACAAAATTTACGAATAAAGGCCCACAAAACATAGAAATCCGATTAGAACAATAAATATAGTTTGAATATTTAGGAATAATGGTAACTGAGGGTGGAAAAGATGAGGCAGAAATACAAAACACACTAAAAGATTATACTTCCAACTAAATAAACACCTATTTAACAAACAAAAAAAGAAATATATACAAAAACAAAAATAATGATGTTCATGTCACTGTATATCTCTACCCTACAGGCAAGTGAAATGAAACTGCTGAGAAGAATTACGGGTCTGAAGATTTTGGATAAAGCCAGAAATGGAGAAATAAGAACATTAGGTTTCATGTGTGTAAGAATGCAAGCGAATAGGCAAAGGTCGTATGAACACATGATTAGAATGCCAAATACAAGATTGGCGAAAAGGCTCTGGAGAATAAGAAAATAAAAGGTTGTCCAATAGGGACGCAGGAAAGTAAACGTCAATTTGACATAGACACCATCTTTGTTTTCTGTCAGCGACATGTCCTTTTGTTAGTTGAATGTTTACCATTGATCGCTATGGAGTCGTATTCGATTGAAGACCGCATTAAAGTTATTCAAGAGCACTACAAAAATGGTGCAAAAATAAAAAACACGTTTCGCGCCCTTCGTGAACATTTCGGTCGCAACACCCGCCCAAACGAAACAACCATCGGTCGTCTGGTGCGTAAATTCGAGGCAACAGGTTCTGTGGCAAATCTGCCAGGCTCTGGCCGGCCAAGGAGCGTTCGCACACCGGAAAATATTGCTGTTGAGAAGGAGAGTGTGAGAGACGATCCGAAACAATCAACAACGCGTCGATCCCAAGAATTGGGCATTTCGAGAACCAGTTTGCTGCGCATTCTCCACAAGGATTTGAATGTACACGCCTACAAGATCCAATTGACGCAAGAGCTGCGTCGGGCCGACCATTTTTCGCGCCGAACGTTCTCAGATTGGCTCCTTGAACACCGCCAAATTGATGCCAATTTTTCATCAAAAATCGTGTTCAGCGACGAAGCACATTTCACTTTGAATGGGACGGTAAACAAGCAAAACTGCCGCATCTGGGCGAACGAAAATCCCCGTGAGTATCAAGAGCAGCCGATGCATCCTCAAAAAGTGACTGTGTGGTGTGCATTGTGGTCAAAAGGCATCATCGGACCTTACTTTTTCGAAAATGCGGCCGGGGACGCCGTTACCGTCAATTCTGAGCGATATCACGTGATGATAGAGGACTATTTTTTGCCGCAACTTGAAGGAATGGATATGGACGATGTTTATTTCCAACAAGACGGTGCAACATGCCACACAACCAACGTCAATATCCATCGATTGCAGTCCTTCTTCGGTGATCGCGTGATTTCGCGCAGAGGAAATGTGCCATGGCCACCAAGATCGTGCGATTTCACTCCCTTGGACTTCTTTTTATGGGGATATTTGAAAAGCAAAGTCTACGTCAACAAACCAGCCACCCTCCAAGGACTAAAAAACAACATCATTGCCGAGATAAATGCCATAGAACCGACCATGTTGCAAAATGTCATTGAAAATTTCGACCATCGCGTGGACGTCTGTAAATCCAATCGTGGTGAACATTTGAGCGATATTATTTTTCATACATAAATGGTATAAATGAACCTTCAAAATAAACTACCCAACTTGATTTGAATATCAATCTTTCTTGTTTTAAAATATGAGTTTACTTTCCTGCGTCCGTTTTGGACAACCCCATATAAGAAAAAGAGAAAAGGAAGATCAAGACCGCATTTGGACTGGAAAGCAGCAGGATTAGCTAAATACGGAACAAAATGGAGAAAGATAGTAAGAGAAAACTGAAAAAGGGTAGAGAGATAACAAGCTCTACACTGGCCAGATCCAGTAGAACAGGAATGGATTAAGTAGTAATTTTAAAAGAAGTGCGAGGAGGGTCATACGAATAAAGACCAACCAGTTATCTATGGCTACTAAAGCAGATAATGTCCAGCTTTGTTAATCAATGCTAAAGTGTACGAATATGTTTAAACAATATTAGGTGTATAGTCCATCCGGTGGCATTGAAAATACACCATAATACGAATTAAATGCGATTTGCTAATGCATTCACTCAACTTCATTTAGGCTACAGCGCACATCTATTAATTATGTTGTTTGAATAACAAGCAGTTGATTATATACGGTAAATAGCTAATTTGATAACCTCCTGTAACATAGATTGACATCTAATTTTTTGCACTAGTTACGCCGCTTTTTTCTTCCGCAGTAGCTGTATATTTAATAGAGCATTTGCATAATTAAATTGGTTCGGGCAAACCAGTATGACATAATTCTACCCGTGCTACTGAACTTGGAACTGGAGCATTTTGAGATCCAAAACTAGTTAAATATTTTATTCAAACTGAAAAATACACTGGGCATCATAGACATTTTTCATAGCTGGATATTTTATTGTCTACATCCTTTTTTCTAGGATGATTCACGTATTTGGATAGAACGTCACCATACATTTTATATCAAATTGTCAACGTCAGACTCCTAAAGCTCGTTTTGGCGACAACAGTTTGATATTCTGTGGTAATTTTGGAAATATGACATAAGCGTCTCGGGACTTTATTTTTCGAGCAACGATTAAACCGCTACCAGCATCGACAACAGACAAAGCGACATTTTTCGTGTCTGAAACGTAGAGAGGGTTGTAATTAATCTTCGTCAAATTAGCGCGAACTGGAGACAGTCTATACGGGCGGTGTGATGGAAGGACTTTTTTAACTAAATCACATATTGTTGATGGAATTTATTTTACATACAAGTACTTTACTGAAGTTACTGTTCTTAAATGGTGGAAAAAATGAAATGTTATCATTGATAATTTTTGTTTGTTACACAATCGTTATCCTTTGTGAAATCACTAAGTACACCTAAAATGACGCAGGTCGTACGAAAAAAGCAAATCAAACACTCAAATGGATCTGACGATGTCGTGCTGGTTGCTGCGAGTGTAAGCAGGCTCAATGGAAAAGAGGTTTGTTTATTTGGACGAATTAGTTACAACTCGTCAGAACAAAATTTCGTTAGAATTCACATCCATAGTAACCGTAGCCTTAGCGGCCAGACCATGGAGTCCTGTTTCGCCTGATCATGCCTAATGATTATTTATTCTCCCTGTGCTGGTATGAATTGCAACTTGGCGAAGACATTCAGCACCAGTGTCGATCCTTTTAGACAACCCACATGTCCACAAGATATTAAACTTATAGTGTTTACGCGTTTCAACCTGCTTCCTACTATTTTCAAAAGACAAGATAACTGAAGGCAGACATAGGTTTTCGTGATGTGCATGTCAAAATATCTAAAAAAACATATCTTTATTAAGAATTCGAAAATGTTGCATTTATATGAGTACTATTAACATAGAATTACCATTACTTCTTCAAAAATATCGTACTGAAAACAATAAATGGAAACTAAACATAAATTCAACAATCGCTCGAATATGCATCTTAGGTTGCCTAAGATGGCCGGTGAGGCATTCCTTTCCTCTGTAGGTGGCGCTCACAGCAAGTAGGCGCGAAATGGACTAGCGACTACTAGGTACACGAGTTAACATTATACCGATTTTTAATAACAATATATTGATTTTTCACGTAATACCTCTGCAGAACCATAGAAGCCGGGATAAAAACCGTCTTAGTCGGAATCGAAACCATCGAAATCCGAATGGAAACAACTGGAATCGAAATTGAAATCATCGAAATCGAAACCACCTTCGGAATCTATTCCTTCCATTCCTATTTTGGTATCGTTCTTTCAGAATGACTAGTTCAGCACCGACTCAGCTCTACCAGATAGTGTGGACGTTACGTATATTTTCTTGGTATTAAATGCTTACCTTCTGCGCCTTCCTATACTGCGTCAGCTGCCTGTCCTGTTGCTGCACAAACTGCAGCCTGTTGAAGCGCCTGCCCTGCGTGGTCCCCGCAGCCCTGGCTTGGCCCTCTTGCCTACTGTTGTTCCTTACCACCGGCTCGTCCAGCACGACCTCTTCCACCAGGTCGAAGAGGTCATCTCCAGCGAGGAGGTCCACCACGGAAGCGGGTCGCCTCGGCGAGACGGACGCCGTTCGTACCATGGGTACCACCGTCGTGGTCAGGTGCCGCCTGCCCAGTTGGTGGATGTGGTACACGGACATACTGGGGTGTTCTGAAATACATAAAAAATAAGTTTGCGATTAATTCTTGAATGACGTTAGCAAGCCTGATAGAATATATAGATTTATAGTCAGGCCACAACAAATCGGAAGACGCCAGTGATCTAGATAATGTTGCTATGTTTAGCAGATGAACCTTAATGCTGTTTGGAGGTTATGCTCACTGTCAGCGATTGTCAGTTAATTTAGCTGACATTCCAGAACATACCCTAAACAGCGCAAGGATTCAACATTAATTAACGTATTCCACCTGAAGATAGTCAACGAGGAAACGATGAAAGGATGACTGCGGGTGAGTACCAAGGTACATTTTTATAATAGAGCCGGATTTCGATTAGCGATCTAGAATATAAATCGTTTCTTACTTTGGTACTCAGCAAGTGATCATTTAGTATTTTTCTCCCTTTGTTACTGTTCGTCGATATTGTGTTGTTGAATTGTTGGTGTGATTGTTCTTGAATGCCTTTTTTTATCAAGGCTGAGAATGGACAATACAGGGTCATATGCGACCATTTTAATTACGAATGCAGTGAGTTTAATTCATGATGAGGTCAACAATAGTGTGGAGCAGGTCAACTCTATAATCGCAAAATACATTGGGGTAAGCGAATAAATTATTGCAAGAAGAAGTCATACCATGGAAGATGTGCTGGAGCTGTAGTGAGCCACAATACCCAGCGGCCTGTATATGTGGTCTAAATACATTTGCGTTTTAAGCTTAGTCTAACCCCGCTTATCGCTAAGATGGAACAAAGACTCAAACGCAAGAATCTTGAAAAGAAACTCAAACCAAAAAAAGCAGATATAAAAATAACTAACAATTCGGATAGCAATTCCAAAGAAAATAGTTTTATGGCGAATTCAATCAAAAACCTGACATTAACTACATTGATTTGGAGGTTGCTAAGCGAAAATTTTTAGGGAAACTTAAAAAAGTCAAAAACTCAAACAAGTCACCAAATCACAGGACTGTACTTTGTCGCGCCTTCATCGGATGATAAGATTGACAGCGTCTCGATTTGGTGAAGTTTGTAGAAGAAGGCAGACAACAAGCTGTAAAGTTCTAGTAAACTCCATCATATACCCAACAGAGTTTTCTAGTAAGGCAATACAAAAATCATTTCACACCGCAGTTCAGTCTTGTGGTTTGTTTATTGATGGCACACATCCATTTCTGGCAGCATCGCCTCCATCAGTAGACAAGAAATGTACTTAATCCAGGTATAAGCCTACCTGTTTATTGCTTTGCAAAAACTACCTCTGTTTCCTCTTATTTTGACCGCATAAGATATTTTTATGACCCTCATTCAATTGTTACCATGTACCACATGACCCTTGTAAACATAATTGTGTTTACTGACATGAATAAACGAATTTTAATTTGAGTTCTTGAATTTATTTTAGGACATATATCAAATTATTTGAATACATTTTTTCTTAGTCGGAACGCACCGTCGCGTCGCTTGGACTGGCAGGATGAAACAGAGGACGAATTTCACCCCAAAACCGATTTGCACTTCACAGCTTGCGTTTCATTTTTTATTATTTCCAAATGAAACTCTTGCAGCGTGCTACAAACAAAGTCCACAGGATGCTAACGATCCACTTTTTCGATTTTATCCACTAGGATCTTTTTAAAATATCAAGAAGTTGAGCACAAATAGTAAGCATTTCAACCCACCATAATTCTTGCGCAAAAACAAAATTTTGTAAAAAGCTCTGATAGCACCTTAGGCAATTATGTTCTGCTTATATCCAGAAAAACATCACAAACTACAGAACACAAGTTGTAGGTAACGGCGAAATGGGTACATTTCACGGGTCATGGAATTGAAATGAAAATGCAGGTATAAAATCTACCAAATTAACGTTCTCAAAAACATATTTTTCTTGACATATCGATAAACACCTTTTCAGCAATTTCCTGGATATCCAGATAAAACGATATAACTCCTTGATATTAGGATTGTACCTATATGTTTGAAACATTACCCTAGTCAGAACTATGGATTTCTAAGTAAGATTACAATAAGGCACTTGTTGCTATTAGATTATTAACCACGAAATACTTCGTGATCTTTTCTATAGCCCCTTCAATAATGAAAATATTTGGGGACATCAAATAAACGGACCGATACCACAAGGAGAACGATTATTTTTTATCGGAAGAAAGAAAAGCCAAACAAAGGAAGCTAAAAATAGATAACTTATACTATTAGCTTATTCTCAACAAAGAACTCTACATAATCCGGAGTATCTGCCATCAGTCTTCAATTTAAAATTAATTTGAATGTTTATAGAGTAAACAAAAGCCAGCTGCTATCTTTAGAATCAACAAATCATACATATTCGACTAGAATAGTATGTTCCACTTACGGATCAGGCAGTGCATTGAAACAGGACTCCAGCTGAGAATTCATAAAACTGTTTTCGGACATCACCATTCCGACGCTATGCCCCGAGATCCCGTAGCACCCAGCTGTCGTTAGTGGAGTAAATTATAATAATATAATTTTTATTGTCAGTGTTCTCAATTTCATTGATATTATTTTTGTAAACATGGGCCCATGAGTTGTTTCTAATAAATCGTATTTGGCAGTTTGATACCTGATTCTGATGTTGATCTCCAGTCTGGTGGTGCTACTAGCTATTAACATATACTATTAAATAGCTAACATCCTCGTCCACATCTAAATACTAACCAATTAGTAGATTCTCCAGCGGCGACGTCTCGATCTCGATGGGTCCGGCGGAGGTGAAACATGGTGGAGGCGTTATGAACCACGACTCCTCCATGGCGGTACTCGAGGGCAAGGATGATGTAGAGCTCGACCGCGTCCTGGCTTTCGGCCTGAGTGTGGAAAGCGGCGACGCGGTGCCTCGGGTCGGATCCTCAAAGTCCAGGTCGTCCAGACTGCCCAGCGAGCCTGCCTCGGAGTTTCCCTCGCTATCTCGGTCGACCAACACCCACTCGCCCTCCTAGAAGACATTAGGGTGGTGAATGATATTCAAGCAACAAATTTACTAAAGAGAGACTTCATTCAGTCATAAAAATTGTTTCACTTCATATTTTGCCACAGGATGGTCAAAAAATTTTTAACATCTACAACCATATTTCGGGAAATGCATTTTGACTGCAGACATATAAAAAAGCCTAGTTGAGTATCAACCGGTCGTCACAAGAAAGGTAACCTACAAATGTTTGATTTCGACCAAAGTTTTTTCAGCATTTTGCACAGTGGGAGGTGACTTCAACTTTACAAGTATATTATTGAATATTTAAAAAAATTCTTAGACATCTGGAATTCAGATAGAAACTCGTTCCTTAAGCAAATGTGCGAAAATCAAATATGTCAGTTTGTCGTTCAGATTAACAGGAGGCATTAAAAAGTCAGTTTCCCTGTTCTGATTAGAGTTTTGCGGTATGACACTTTACTGATCTCTTGGATAAATTTGGAACATAAATCACTAATCACAGAAGTCAGAATTACCGGGGTTGGGAGCGTAAAAATATACTAACATCAAAATGAGATATATCCTCCCCCACCTCGTACAACCCCAAGTTTGTAACCTCTATAAAAGTTTTTCTGAAATTAATCAGGAGCCTCTGAAACGCCAAAAAACATAGTTTGAGCGATTTCTATTTCATCGTTTTTTGTGACAAAATTTCATCCAAATTCGAGCTGTCTTTCCAAGTTACAGTATATAGTTTCGTGATTACACCAGTAAGCGTGAGACGTAAAAATGAGAAAAACAAGTATTTTAGAAGGGAACATGAATTGGAATCTTTTCTCCAACCATGTCATTGATATAAATAAAAATCATCCGCTTTTCAGTGCTTCAGAAAGCGAAAAAACACAGTTGTGTAGGGATTAACTTTAGAAACTCCTCTGAAAGCGAATGAATAAACATGAGATACATGAGTCCGTGGACAACCTAGGGACTTTAGATATTTCGGATGGTCATGTAGCAAATTTTCAGGAGCATTCGCTTATACTGTGCTGGCCAAAGTCGTTTGCTCTTTTAGATTTCCATGCGTACGATAGAAAGAAGTGTGTTAGAAAGAGTGCGGCCATATACGCGTACTCACCACGTTGCCAGGCAACGACAAAGAAGCGCGACTGTAACTACTCTCCAACTGTCGGTGGCATCCGCGATCTCGTCTTTCAGGTCGCTAGGCAACGAGGTGCTTATATCTCTTTCTAACACAAGTATTGTAATTTTCGGTGTTCAGGGGCATACTCTTTCTAACATACATGTTGCATGGTGTTGTACGTCTCTCTCTCTCTTTCTGTCGTACCCATTGAGACAACAAAGGCAAGCGACTTTGGTCAGCACTGAATACATACCTCGTAGTCATCGGTGGCGCGCAGGCGTCCATACCCTCCGCTAGTGTTTTCGACCGTCGCTGCCCTCGTTGCATCAACCTCCTCCTGTGGGTTGGGAGCGGACATCACCGCGCCCAACAGGTAACTAGCCAAGTTCTGGAACATTTTCTGCAACAAAAAAAAAGTCATTTTCCTCCAATCGTCATCAGCGAAAATTTGGGAGTGGGAAAAAGGAAAATAAAATGCTTGTCATTATATGTTAGTGAAAAACGATTTTATTTAAATCAATTTGGCGTTTGCACATTTTAAATAAATAGGTCCGGCTTCTCCCGATGTAAGTTCAATGTCATAATTTATAAATATTAAGAGCAGTTACTTGTCGAGTATTATGAAACATTGTACTTCTGAGCTAGGCAATGAAAAAAAATACTTTTCACCAGATCAATTAACATCAACCAGTTATCAAAACAGCATTTTAAAAGAGCTTAAATGTTGAAATTACTTATTTAGATATTTCATCGTATTTATCGATTTCAAGTAATCTTTGGGACGGAGGGCTCTACCCCCTCTCCCAACCGCAAATCCGCTCTTGTACGTACGCCAAGATCTTGATCGATAATGCTCTAAGCATAAATAAAACGATAATTTATTCATTCTATGCCGAATCGTCAAACGCATCTAAAAAAAGTGAAAGACTCCCGCAAATAATTTAGTCTCACGTCCTGAATACTGATGTATTCTCTTTTAACGGATAAACAGTTTCTTGTGTCATAACTAAAACACTCTTCACTTAGTTGTTCAAACACAAGAAAAATGTAAGTCGCCATCTACCATTTGCGACTCAAATTGCTTCAAACTCACACATACACACACACTTCTACTTACGTTTAACTTATATCACAAGAGAAATATCGATTGTTTGACTTATTGAAATACGTTATGGACTTCAGCGACACTGTAATCCCAAAATACTGAAAAAATGAGAATTACAGGGCAAAAAATAAGTAAACTGTTCACTGAAAGAAAAAATAATAAGTGAAAGGGAGAAAAACGAATCGGTGTATGCCCTGAACCCCCTCGTTTGTGACGGAGGGTAAATTGCAACCAAAGACACTGAAAACGACTAAATGTGCAATTTTCTGTAGGTAGAAAATACCCCATTAAATTCATAATGGCTCATATTAAGACTTTTGCTATTAAAAAGTCCAATACCCTTGGGCTATTCTGGATCGGAATTTCGGCCGTTTGCGGCCTACCTAAATACATTCTGATCCTAGAATGAAGTACTGAAGGACCATGGTTTATATCTTCTTATGATGTCATGACACAATTTAGGGTTTTTCAAAAAATACAAGGGACAATTTAAATATAAAACTCGACAGGTACCTGTTGGTCTACATAAAAAAACAAAAAACGTACCTTATTATTCTCACCTAAAACAGGTTCCGGGTAGTTAAGCTAATGGCCTTAGTACGATCTGCTACTGGAACCGCTTACAAGACGCAACACAACTGAGAGATAATAGATAGCGACCTGAGGCGTCTCACAGACACGGCCAGCAAGAAGGATTAACAAGAACTAACATTACTCGTACAATAGAGATACTATAGTCAAAATCACGAAAGATGACTATTACGTCAAATAATGAATTGTACTGAAGTAATCAATGGACGTACGTCGATGATAAATCACGATGTCATGAATTTATAATATGATCTTGCGAAGTTAGGTTATTTCACTGATAATTTTTATTTACATTTATTTTCATGGTTTTAATCATTTTAGTGGTGAGCTTTTGTTTTGAAAAAAACAGTTATGAATAGAATACACCTTAAGACATTAACACCAAAGACCAAAGTATTATTCGAAAACTACCTTACCTGCTTTAAGATAACCTCAATATTCATCTTTCAAATATGATCGAACATGAAAACGTCGACTATCGTTGTCGGATAGATGCAAATTAGCATTACAGTTTGTTTAGACAATAAAATTCTGTTAGACTCTGTCTAACATATTTGAAACTTCATCAAAAATATTCATATATCTCTGTCGTTTGTCTTTACTACAGACTAAAATGATGACGTAATCGTCATCATTGTACTCTGTAGTAAAGACATACGACACAGCGATTTGTAAATATTTTCCATGAAGTTTCTGATATGTCAGACAGAGACAAACAGAATTTTATTGTCTAAACAAACTGTATTGCTAATTTACATGTATCCGACAAAGGACGACGTTTTCATGTTGCATGATCGATCATATTTGAAAGATGAATAGTAAGGTTATGTTAAAGTAGGTTATGTTGTTTCGGAATAATACTTTGGTCTTTGGTGTTCCTGTCTTAAGGTAGGAATTCTACTCATAACTGTTTTTTTTTTCAAAACAAAAACTCCCCACTAAAATTATTATTAAGGTATCACTCAAAACCATGAAATAAAATGAAAATAAAAATAATCAGTGAAATAACCTAACTTCGCAAAATCATAATATAAATTTGTTGTCATTATGTTTCAGACTCGTGATTTTATCATCGACGTACGTCCATTGGTTACTTCAGTATAATTTATGGTATGACGTAATAGTCATCTTTCGTGATTTTGACAATAGTTATTTAGTTATTTTTTGAGTACAATGAGGAAAGCATTATACTTGTTATTTGCTAGGTTTCCATAGCAACTGTGAAAAGTGAAGCGGCATCTTTTTCACAGATTCAAAATGTTTGACAGATGTGGCGTGGCGTATCTAGTTACTAGGTTATGATTTTGTTCTTCGTTATCGAAATGAGAAGCAAGAGAGCGCTATTTCCTAAGGTTATTTTTTTCCTTAAGGCTAAATTTCGTAGAAAATTAAGGATAGTGTCAGACAGCATTTAGTACATAATTTTGTATGAACAAATTTAGTGCTAAAGTTTGTAGAAAATTTAAAATAATATCATACTAAAAGTGCGGAGACGACAACTGCGCATTTGGAGCAGTACACTGGCTGATATAACCTCACTTTCATTAGTTGATGTTATCAGTTGTGTTCATCAGTTTCGCGAAACTCCCCTGCGTATGCTGTTCTACTTGTAGATTGAAAACTTAAAATATGTTATGATCAAAAGAGCAGTGTGACGTATTACTCAACGAGTATAAGAAATAAGATTGTTTATATGCTGTAAAAAGCAAGGCCTATAAAGACCGAAAAGCCAAATAAGCTGCGTTGGATAAAATCAGAATGACTTAAGAACCAATTAAGCTTATAAGCCAGTGGATCCTGCACTAAAAGTTCTTTATTCAGCATACGGAGCACACACATGCCCTGGTCCCTCTCCCTGATCCATTTTCGGCACCAAATTATTTTGCGGTTTCGTTTACTTCATTTTCTCATGCAGATTGCTGATGCCGTAGTCGCACAATATAATATATGCGAATTAGGGGATCGCTGCTTCACTTTCTACAATTTTCTATTCGTTTAAAAATAAAGGAATAAAGTAGCAACAGCAAATGGAAGTGTGGTTAGAATGACTTTGACGTGATACGTGATAAATGGCAGTTATAGTTTTTTTTCTACCAACTGCGCATGATTTCGTACGAAATTTAGTACAAAAATTTATTTACGTGTCAGACAGGATTGTAATTTGTAAACAAATTGGGAACTAAATTCAGTAACGAATTTTCTCACACAAATTGGTACTAAATTTAGCGCTGTTGTCGGTGTAAAGTTGGGAAAGGAAAAACGTATCAGTGAAATTATAATCTAAATACAAAGTTTAGATCACAGATAAAAATAAATGCAAGAAATAGGCAGTGTACTGAATGTATTAAATTGTTCTGATTTTTGTTGTATATGCAGTGTGACAAGGTAACATTTTATTCTGGTCCTAGTTTTGTGGTTACTTGTTCTGTGATTCTATAATTTTAAACCTATTCCGTTCTTGACCAGGTTAGAGTAATTATAACATAAATATTAAGTCGCGTACACATCTGGCGAACGCATGTGGCCGAAGCCTTTCGACCGAACGCCGTCGGTAAATGTGTACGACCTAACAAACGCATGTGTTTGCCTTCGCGAGAGTTCGGTCACTGGGCGGTACATCAAAAGAAAATTGAAGAACGAATTCGTTTGGCTGTGTTTAGTGTGTACGCTTTTCAGTTTTTAAGTGTCTCATCGTGGTCATTTTGTTTTGAGTTTCTATTTAGCGATAATGGAGTGGACTAATTCCTCTTGTTTAAAACTTATTGGTTTATATCGAGAACGGGAAGTTGTATGGAATCCAGTGCATAAAGATTACAAAAATAAAATAAAGAAAATGGATGCCTGGAACGACATCAGCAAAATTATGAAAGGCGATACAGGGGAGGTCAAAAAGAAAATGGAATCTTTATTAACATCATTCCGACGTGAGAGACAAAAACAAGATAGCTCGTTTAAAACTGGCTCAGGAACCGACACAATTTTTAAATCTAGCTGGTTCGCTTTCAAAGAAATGCTTTTCTTGATGGACAAGTTTATACCAAAAGACACTAAAAACACTGAGGTAAGTCAAAATATTTATTTTTTTATCAAATAAAATAAAATAGGGAGATTTGTACGACCTCAGTGTATAGGCAGTAATAAGACAGAAGATTATAATTAGCCGACTAATTTCTACGCATGTGAATGTTGCCAACTCACGCTACCTTCGCCCATAAAATATGTAGCAAATTCATTTCTAATTGCTTCACAATTTGCCGAACTTTTTCGACCTATCTTAGGTATTGGAAGAAAGGACTCTGCATTTTTATTTTCGCTTCCCTGTCTCCATTGTCCAGGAATGATTTTTCCTTCTTTCTCATCATCAAATGTTCCTGATGGAGTATAAGTGTTGCGAGAATGTTTACTTTTCCTTAGGAAGTTATGTAAATAGACACATGCTAAAACTACCAAAGTTGCTTTTTCAGGTGATACTAGTATCACTTTTCTCAAAACTCTAAAAACAGCTGACATGATGCCGAAAACATTTTCAACAATACGCCTGGCTCTACAAAGTCTATAGTTAAAGATACGTTTCTTAGAACCTTTTTTTTGTTCTACTGGATACCCCTTCATTAAATGCTCACTAAGGCTAAATGCATCATCTCCTACAAATACATAAGGAACTTTCACATGTCTATTAGGTAGAATGTCATCAGGTGGTAAATGGAGCTCATTGTTTTGCAGTTTTTTCCAAAATATAGAGTTTTTTAGCACACCTCCATCTGAAATCCGACCTTGGCAGCCAACATCAGCAAACAAAAAGCAATAATTTGGATCAGCAACTCCCAACAAAACTATACTAAAATTTCCTTTATAATTGAAATAGTCGCTGCCACTGTGTATGGGTGCCTGAAGTACGCAGTGTCTGCCATCTATGGCACCAAGGCAGTGAGGAAAATTCCATAGAGCTTCAAACATTTCCGCAACATATCGCCATTCGTTTTCAGTTGTAGGCATCTAGAAACAAAAAAAAACGTTAGTGTAAAAAAATATGAAATCAAAATTTTTTCAGGAGATGATTCGACCAAGGAATCAATATCAAGAAGAGGAGGAGGAGAAGGAAGTGGAAGCAGACATGGCCAACAATGACATAGCTATTGACGAAATTAATAATGACACGCAAGTAACAGAAGTACAAGAACGAATAACCCTCAAAAGAAAATCAAATTTTATATCTCCCAAGAGGGTCAAACGGGTACCATCTGTGGCTTCTGTGAATCAAGGAGCAACCAGTGCTATCTCTAGAGGGCAAGAAGCATACCAAATATTACAAGAAACACTTGCAAGTAAAAAAACAAGAGACGGTAGCACAATTTTTGGAGAACATGTTGCTGCAAAGCATAGAAAATACAGCGCGCATACACAAAGTGAAGTGGAACATCTAATTGGAGATATTCTGTATAAGGCTGATAAGGGACTTTATGAACCACACGTGTCCTCAATCAGTTCCATTAGCCACAAACAATATTATTTATCTCAACCCAATCAACAAATTTATACGAGTATCACGCCTAGTACAACACCCAATTCGTATAATCAATATGCTTCAGACACTCAAAGCATCAGTACTCCTTTACCATCACCTTCAGAATCAGATGGTCCACTGAATGAAAATGAGTCTTTTTTGTCGGCGACCCCATCAAACCTGACGTTACAGGAAACTGATAATCCGAAGACACCCATCATACGTTTTATAAATGCATTTACAGATAGTCTTTAAGGCATTTTTTGTTTTTTTTATATAAACCCTAGACTTTTTAATAAATACCTAAAGCATATTATACATAACTATTGAACTTACCTTAACGTATTCTTGAAGCGTCTCAATTATAGCAGAGCAAACCTCTGGTATTATCCTTGAAATGAGTTGTTTTGAAATTTTAAAAGTATACATTAAACTTGTATACGAGTCACCAGTAGCTAAATATCGTAGGGTTAACATTAACCTTTCTGTTGACGGTATTGTTTCTCTAAACTTTGTATCTTGTTTCGCGATTTTTGGACCGATTTCATTTAATAACCATTCAAAATCAGTAGACTTCATTCTACAAAAATTTACAAAAAGTCCGTATTCCATTTCAGCTTTTAGATCACTAATTAAGTCCAGCCCTCTATACCGACTTCTGCTTTTGAACAATGATGTTGTCCACCAGCGCCGTTTTCGTCGTTTCTTGGGGGGCTCTTTCAATGCTTCGGTCTCCGCCTCACTAATAATAATATACAACGCACTTGCAATAATTATATCCTCATCATCGGACGCCATTTTTTACCATTTACAAAAATACCCGCGAACCTCGACGAATGACTGCAAACGAATTCGTTCACCGTAATGTGGACGGCAGAGCAAATTTTCCATCGAACGTCGAAATCATCGAATGAATTCGATCGAAGAGCTTCGGCCACATGCGTTCGCCAGATGTGTACGCGCCTTTACAGGAACTTTTTCATACAAAAAATTTGACAGGGTTTTAAAATTTTGAAGTTACCACAGTTCACTTCAGTGGTAATAAAACATATTCTTTCCCGAACCATCGTTATTTGCTTCCGCTGTTAAAAATAACTGCAGCTTAACGATTCGTTATTTTTACTGCACTAAAAACTCTCTATTTTGTGAACTTCTTTATCCTTTCTTTCGTTATAACAGGAAAGAAATCAAATTATCGAATCTACTTTGTATTTGTAGAATTTATCAGTTTGCGTCTTAACTGTATGAAACATAGCAAAGTTGATCATGATCCGTAAAATTTGTTTGTTTCTCTCGATATCGATAAGAAACTATTTTTAACTATTTTTATTCTCCGCGGCATCTCAGTTTTCGTCTGGAAAAGGTACCTTGAACTTGCTCCTAGTTTCTAGTCACTGCTAATATTTTTTTATACGAAACTTTTTCTCTGTCGCCGAGCGAAGCGTTACTAATACAATAATAATAATACCTACCATCAGAAGCTGGTTGGTAATAACCATTCTGTCGTTGAAGTTCATTGCTAGCGATAATAAAATGGTCATCAAGCTTTCTCTATAAACAGTAACTCGTTCTTTTCCGTCTTCGATATCACATATTAGGCAAAACTTAATATACATTTTAAACATAAATTCCTGGAAAAAATCTTCAGCGAAACGCATGAAAAGCACCTCGTGCCTTTGTTTATGGTCGGTGAGCACGCAGTTTATATTCCATAGGCGTACTTAAAAAATGAAGGCTTGCAAAGATTGATAACTCAAGCTCTCAAGCATGTTGGGGAATAAAAAAGATATTGTTACCAATACCTCCGCCTTTGATGAGGTAATTGATATTAGCGATTATGGTCAGGATATGTGGATGCATCGAGGGCATCAGCTTTATTTATATATGTTGAGTGGCTAGAGAGTAAGGGTAAGTTATTAGTGGTGTTTACAATAACTTGAATTATTCACGTATTTTTCGGTCTCTAACAATATTCACAAAAAAAATCATTCGAAACAGGGATTTAAAACACTCGATTCCATGAAGCATATTCAAAATTGTACCTTGGAATAACGGTATTTTTTAAAATAAAGTGATAATTTCAACCATTCAATTTTTTTAAATGGAATTAGTTGAATACAAAGTCGATTTCAGCCATACTAACTGGTGGTACAAAGGTACCTAGTTGGTTTCAACAGAAAAAAAAATCATATTCATGTATGTTGACGTGCCTTAGCGTTTTTGTCTGTGTTTAAGTTGTTCATCAATTTGATGATCAATATTATTTGCATCTTTATTCCATTTTGCTAAATTTGGCTGTCTGCCAAACCTTTTTTGACCAAAGGTGTCTTTGTGGCCGAAACTTCAGTTTGGGTCGGACCCTAAACAGAATATAAGTATGATATATAAATGAACGAACCCATTACAGAGGTAAGTCAAAAATAAATCAAGATTCCAACTTTCAACACCCTTGTAATAATATCTCCACCCGCCTCTGTTGCATTGCACTTGTTTGTGTTTTGGGTAGGGGTTACTGACTTGGCGTACATAATGTAAGATTCAAGGATCACTGAATTCTACCTGCTCTTCTATCTGTATTGTGCATTTGTCTGCACCATTATCTAAATTGTATACGTCTTTTCTCCCTCACAGTCAGCGATTATTTTTTATGATTCTTTGGCCAACACCATTTATATTACTTATATGCTTTGAACAGGTAGTTATAGATTTCCATCGGTTTGCTTGTGGGAGAGCGCTTGGACTCATGTCCCATGTCATAAGATTTTTGGCGTTTTATTATATACGTTTTTTTTTTAGAATATCGTTCTGTAACTCTATTGCCACTAGCACAAATCGAGCTTAAATAAATGAATTGTGTATTTGGTGTACGTTTCCCCCTTTTATGAACTTCAAAATATTTGGATTTAGGCACTCTACAGGCAAACATTCAGTGTGGCAAGCCAATTTCTGCTGATGAGCTGGAGCGAAAAAGACTAGTAACGATTTCTTCTCTAACCAGAGACTTGGAAGTTGTCACCGCTTGGGGATTCAACAGTGTAGTTTTTTTCAAAACGCAACTCTATACCTTGGCTAACAAGAAGCGCCCTCGCACGCATTCGGTTTCAATGAATGACCGAGTTCTGCAAAGAGCCATTCATTTCAGTTGGTCGGAGTCCAGATCACCTAGGATTTGATTTGTCATATCTCATCACTCGCAACAGTTGCCTGTAAAAAGCTATTTATGGCTAATAACTTTGACTTTTCTTCGTATAAGATTCTCACTATGTATAAGGCCCAGATAAGACTAGACCTTCAGTACTGCTCACACGTTCGGGATTCTGCCGCCCCGACTATGTCCATACTTCATGCTGTTCCACTGATCATTGACATCAACGGACAGATCGGGTCCCTATCGCATGCACTGGCTGTCGGTGATCTTGCTCTCTTCTATCACTACGCTACCATAATGCCGATCGCACGTTGAGCCTACTAGACGGACCCGCCAGGCTTCTGCCTCTCATCCCAACTTTGGCGAACTTCGTGCATCGACAACAAGCCGCTTCGACCGCTTCTTAGTTTCTAGAGTGTCGAGATTGTGTAACAATCTGCTTGAGGAGGTTTTTGTTCAAAAATCGAATTAACAAGGCGTCTTTAAGTTCTTTCTAGCAGGCATGGTACCCCGGTATTTAGTGCTTCAGTATATATATATATATATATATATATATATATATATATATATGTTCTCCCAGATATCACACACCTCACTCCCTTTTTAAATTTAGTCGAAAAAAATAACATAATCACTTGACAAATTTCCCAAAAACTCCACTAAATCGAAAACATACTTGTGGAAATTTTTGGCGAACTAAAAATAAATAAACGTCATGCACTCTTGTTTTTGTACTATTATTTTTTATTACCTCATTGTTGATATCATGAGTACGGAATATTTCCAACGAATCGAGATTTCAATGCTCCTGTTATATCTTTTCTATATTTTTTTGTAAAAACGAAAAAGGTGAGTTTATTTTTAGACACAATAAACAAATAAAAAATACATTTTTTTTCTAAAATCCATTAGATTTATTAATACATTATATTTATATTATAGAATATATTATATGATATTTGATTAATTATTGATCCGATATATGAATACGTACATAAAATATTGTATATAAATGATGAAGTCAATTTTATTTAGCCATGCATTCCAGTAAATATTCGGTAAGAATTGAGTAGTTAATAGGACTATTTGGAGCATTTTTCGGCGTGATGGTATATGCCTGATAATGCTTTTGAATAAATCGAAACATATCAGAAATAATTCATCGCGTGTAAACGTTTAAAAACACTAGCATAAGTCGAAGGAACAAAAAAATACAAACTAAAACGCATTAGATTTCGATAGAAGAAATCAGGTTTAGAACATTTCACGGTTCGCTGTTATCATGAGGAAGTACAACTGCAAATTAGAATCACTCTATATCAATTAAAGAAGTATACACAGGAA